TTTTAAAATATAAAACAAGTTACTCCATTTTTTTTAAGAAAGTGACAGTTTTAATATCTTCTAAGTCTGAATTATCTTTGACTTTGAAACATGATTAAATGCATCTTTTATATCAATAAAAACTGCAGTTGAGACCAGATCTTTATGCTTTACTGTTTAAATATCATGAATAGACTGGCTGTGGCGGGCTGCGCCCGATCAATCATATAGACTATTCCGTTACACTCCACAGATTCCAACCACTTCATTCTCGAACACGTACACTCCGATTCTCGGCCATTCTCAATCACCGATTCTCAGCCGCTACGAACGCATGTATATTCTTCTGCCCTGAAGCTCCACCGCGTACACCACTACATACATGTATAAATATCCATCTTGATCACTGATTCTCACACTTTCTCTTTCTTTTCTTCTCTAACATTTTTATCTTTGTTATATAAGACCTATTAATATAATACTGATCTATTCAGTGTAGACCTCTTATACTATAAAAATGTTCATTGTCTTCTTATTAGAAAATGATTATTCACACATCATCTTCTCATCAGAAAGAATTATTCATTAAGAGATATCTGAATGTGTAATGACATGTAAGAAATAGAGAACAGTTAAACAGTTAAGTGAACATCAAGTTCTCAGATAGTTGTCAGATAGAAGCTTGCTCATCAGTCACCCTGACTCTGTAACAAGATCTTACAAAGAGAATAAGATCTTATAAGAGAATATCAGTGAAAGATCTGAGAGTTCTGACACTCAGACATATAAGAATACAATTACACATTCAATGATTGATATAATCATGTCTAACAAGAATATGAAACTCTCAAACATAAGCATAGACACAATGTCACAGTGACTTTAAGCAATGTTGAAATTATAACAGTAACAGATAGCAGACATGCATGTGACTCAACAACTTCAATACAAAGAGATTCAACAATTAACTCATGCAATTTCAACATCTACAGAACTGAATATAAAAGCACTGAAAGAATGCTTAGATGCTTCTGTATATTTCAATACTTCTAATCTCACTCTCTACTCATCATAAAGAATGAAAATGCTTGTGAAACTGAGTGTAGATGAAGCTGTCATCAGTTCATTAATCAATCAAGATTAATATATCAATGAACAATTGAAAGATTGTATAAAATAGAAGTTTCATTCATGAATGAAAGTATGTGAATCAGTGTTATGAACATCTGATAATATCATGAAATATCTTGATATTCTGTTCTGAGACACTGCAATGCAATAGAAAGTATTAGATTGATTATAGAGCATCTGACAGAGAAATACTTCTCTTACAACATTCATTCCTGACTTCAACACTAAGATTCTAGAAGCAGATGATCAATCTTGAAAGAATTGAATAAAGATTAGCATACTTAAGAAGATATTAACTTTTGAACTCTAACAGATTCTTATAAGTATAGATAAAGCTCAGACTTATAAAGGCTTCTGCACACAGCTTTGAACAATGAATGATCATCTTACTAAGCTCAAGAATATACAGAACAGTGATAGAAGACATTATATCTCAGTGACTCATACACCTGCACTGAGGAATAACAATGATTCAGATGTCATGAATTGAGTAGACTTGAATGTCTATATATAAGCAAGAGTCTTCACTGTCTGAACAGGCTTCTGAGTCTCTGAGATCACTTCTGAAGAAGTCACTGATTGATATTAATATGAAGTATGTATTAACTGTAATCAATCAGAACACATTGCTTTCAACTGCTGATTGATATATATATCTTCACACTTAAGAGAAAGATCAGTGTCTGTTCATGTCAACTACATTACATTAGAGAAAGATTCAGAGAATAACTATAAGAATACTTCAGTGAAACAGAGAAAAGATTAGCTTCTATTCAAATTTATAAACAGAAGCTTGAAGAGATCAGATAATAATAATTTGAAGAGAAAATAATAATGAATGCAATTCTTGTATCTACTGTGATTAATAATATGTATAATATGAAGATCATGATAGACAGCAGTCTATGTCACTATACAATGATAAAATCTTCAGTTATAAGACATTATAATCTTCAGCATATCTCTTTATCTAAATCTCAACTTCTCACAGAATTTGATGATCTGAAAGATGTTTATATTCATTATATAATGAAGCTGATCATAGATGTGAGAGGACATCAATGTGAAGATGTCTACATATATAAAGTTGATAATCTTGATTACAATCTTATATTAGAACTTGCCTGACTATCTGAATAAGACATCTTATTGAACACTTAAAACAGAAGCTTGATATTCTCTAATAATGATAGAGTTCACAAAGATGACATTTACAAGATTATGAATCTGACACAGATCTCTGTCAACACATATAAAATACTCTGAAAAAGAAGTCATCATTAAAATCACTAACAGAGTCACTGATAAATTCACTGATAGCAGAATTATATATCAATCTATTCTACTAGTCTGACTGATATTAAAAAGATTCTAGAAAAGTTATCTCATGTTACAATAACAGATTCTTATACAAAACTTTCTTAATAATATTATGAATATCTAGATGTCTTCTGATAAGATAATATTATAAATATACTTCTCTTATAAGATTCTGAAGTGAATCACAGTATTAAGTTAGAGAAAAAGAATGATAAGAACTCTGAATTATTATAAGACTCTCTTTATAACATGTTCTGAGATGAACTTCTTCTTCTTTGAAAGACACTCAATGATCTGTTGAATAAAGAATTCATATATATTAGTAACTCTTTCACTGCAGCTTCTATTCTCTTTGCAAAGAAATCAGATAAAGAACTCTGATTCTGTGTGAACTATCAAGGTCTGAACAGATTGATAAAGAAAGATCAATATCTCTTATCTCTTATCAATGAAATTCTAGCATAGATTGAGTGAGCTCAATAATTTATAAAACTAGATATCATCACTGTGTTTCATAAGATTTATATCACTGAAGAAGATGAATAACTTACAGTATTTCAAATATATTATGATTTCTTTGAATGAATAGTCACACTCTTTGAACTGACTAATGTTCTCAGTACATTTCAGAAGTATATCAACTGAGTACTTCAAGATTTTCTTAATAAGTTTGTATCTGCTTATCTAGATAACATTCTCATCTTCACTGATGAATTCAGAAAAGAATATCAAGAGTATGTATGAAAGATATTACAACAGCTACAAGAAGCAGAACTACTGATAGATATTAATAAGTGTAATTTTAAAGTCAAGAGTATCAAGTATCTAGGTTTTATTATAGAAGCTGATAAGGGAATTCAAATGAATTCTGAGAAAGTCTTCATCATTCTTGCATGAGAAGCTCTATGTACTGTGAAGAGTGTATAAAGCTTCATTAGATTTGCTAACTTCTATCAGCAATTTATATAAAACTTCTCAGATATTATAAGATCACTTACAGATCTCACTAAGAAAGACTCAGTATTTCAATGATTAATAGATGCTGAAGCTGCATTTATACAGATAAAGAAGATGTTCATTAATATCTCTCTGCTGATAATATTTAATTCTGATTGTAAGACAGTTATTGAAGCTGATTT